CCGGGATTAAATCTTGCTCTGGTGATCATATCAGGTGACTCCCTTTGAAAAATCGCTTCATTTACAGTCTAGGTGTTCTAGCCCAGGAAGCGTTAATGTTCAACATACCTTCATATAAACAGTTTCACTATCTTCTATTATTTTAATTATATATTTCTTAAATTTTGGTTCATTTTATTATTATTTTTAATATACTATTTTTAAAATTGTGTATGCTTTTTTTAAAATATATATATTTTAAATTTTCTATCTCTTATCAGTACCAGTATTAACAATTGTATTTCTACTACTTCTTTATTCCTACTATTATTATTATATTATCACTATTACGTTTTTGACTACTTTTTGAGCGTACCTTTATTTTAATTGATTTTATTCTTCCAACATCACCTCTTTATAGTTCCTCAGTGACCCCCTGGTGGACGCCGGTGGTTAGGGTACTTTCCCCTTTGTTACTGTTAAAGTTAGTTCATGTCGAGAGAGGCCCCGGCGGAAATGTCGATTTGTGTTGTTTTATGTACGTTGTCCTGCTCTAATTGTTATGTCATCGAAGCATACATGACATTTGACACTGTGGGCACACTTTCTTGACCAACCAGCGTACAGTGGTTTACATTATCACTTGAGACACTGGCTATGTCGTCTTCCATACCGTTTTGTGGCATCCATTATTTTTTTGTTGCACTGACGGTGGAGTCAAGCGATCGCAATTAAACGTCTTCTTTTCATTCCCCCTGGACGTGCTTTTCAGATAACAAGGCCTCCAGCCTCTGTGAAAGCTGTAATGAGACGCATGTCCTCCACTGCTCCGTACAAGCTTGGTTTCTACCGGGATGCCAACTGACCCTGCCTGGGATCTTTTGTGCATGCAGAGGAGAGCATATCTGCAGCACATGTTACGTATTATGAAGTGCCTTAATACATGGGAACATTTTTCTCAGTACTCATTACTGATAAGGGCTGGGATTTTTTTCACGTGGACTTTGACCTAGTAATTCTCCTGGTCTCTGGGTAGTGAGATCGGACCTCGCGTGCATTGTTGCGCACGTAGAAAATACTTTGGCAGTTGAAAATCAAAAAGAGTAGCCTAACCGCGCTGCCCGGGCAAAATTTGGAGTTTAAAATCTACCTAAAGTATTTCAGGATCCTCGCCGGTGCTACACAACCTGTGCACTGTGCTGAGCTTCTTCGGACTCAAGACTTGAGTTAGAAGAAGAACAGAGCACTTATGGGTTACTACCCGTGTACCATGATGTTGATCCGTTGTTCAAAACCTCAGACCTTCGGAATTGTATTTTGGAGGAGAAGTGTTCCAGTACCTAACGGCTGCCATGATCTTGGTTTTATTTTTCTCATAAGTGTATTATTATAAATATTGTTGTTCTTATTGATCCAGTGTGTTGTTGTTGCTTAAAAGTCAGTTCTTTCATTTCCTGTAATGTTAAAATGGTCTGGGATCCACTAGAGAACAGTCTGCTTGGTCTGCGGACCCATTCGATTCAGCTTTGGATTGCTTGTTGTACTAAGCGAGCATCTGTTCCTACAACCACTTCTGACTCAGCTGCATTCACTGAGTAGAATGGATACAACTCTCTCCAGCACCCATGCTCCACTTTGTATTTGGAGAAATCTTTTGCGGCAGGAAGTCTGAAGAATGAACTTTTTGTGTGTTATTGTACTATTGATTGACTCAGTATGAATTCCGTCTCCTCCATTCCTTACATGAGTCCCCATATGTTGGGAACCTGTGACCCGTATCAATATTTCTCAACCTTTTTTTACACCCATGCCACACCCCAAAAAAAAAAAATTTAAAATTGTTTCTTGGCCCATCTGACATCTAACAGAATACAGAAACAAATGTAGATGACAGTTTATTTGTTAAATCCGATGTAACAGAATTGTAGTTTTCAGCTTATGTGATATCTGCTGAGTTTATTTCTGATAGGCGAAGCGTGGCAGTAACATTCATTCGAATTAATTCTCTGTTTCGGTTTTTATTATTGACATCGCTGACAGTCTTCTCACTCAGGAAGTCAAAAAGGGGGGGGGGGGGGGGGGGGGGAGGGGGAATGAGAAAGAGGAATGAACAACCTGAAAGCTCTATAACTCAGACATGATTATTCTTTCGAGTTATATCCAGATTTAAAACAGTGACTGCATTTTATGCCTGGACATGTCATCAGATGACAACTCGATCAACTTTTTCCTTTTAATAGTAATCAAATATCGTATCGTATAAAATCAAACACAAATTCCAAGCTTAGTCCTTTTTTCGCCGCCTGATGGCCTGCTTTATCAAGGACGGTTCCTTTGCTATCTTATTTTATTTATCTTCCTTGTGGTGAGCAATTACACCTGAGTTTGTTCATTTGTTGCCTAAGTTATGATTTTGATGGGTCCTGGTTCCTGTTTTAGTTGGCTGTCCGCTAGCTGTTGCACTGTTCATCTGTGTTAGTACCAAGTCAGTCCTCAGCCACACCTCCGCGAAACAAACAGTCCCGCAGACCGAGCGACCTAAAACAAGGCCCCCAACAGGACGACTGTCACAATTTACTTGTTGTGCGCAGCCGTTTTTTTAAATATGTAGAGTAGGTAACAAAGATTTGCAAAAAAATTAGAACACCCGAAGGTGCCAAGATATTTTATAGTTAGGTCGGAAGATGGAGAGAGACAGATAGCTTGCTAGGTTAAGAAAGATGTCCTTGGTGTGTTGAGCTCTGCGCAGTGCCTGCTCTTCAGAGTTTTCTTCCTTGGTTGATCTGGAAATAGATTGACGTACATTTTAATCATATGTGGGGTAATCAAATATTTAAGCTGACGTCTTTAAATGCTGACGTCATATGTTGAATACCAGTTACACCTGCTTGATTCTCATCCTTGAAGTGCTAATCATGCAGAGTAAAAGTGAAAACCCCGCTACGTGATTAGGGAGACATTTCTGGCGACCCCACAAGACTTTGCCTCGGCTTAGCAGTGGGCCGCGGTTCAGTGGTTGAGGAACACTGGCCTAGATCACCAGCATGCATGCAGTTTAGTTTAGTCTTGTGTGGACTGTATGTCCAGAGAAATTCAGTATTAAGAGCGTATATCGAAGTGCAGTGCGATGACTTCAGTAAAGCTGTGAAAGTCTAAAACAGATTCGACACACATACAGTGTATGTCAGCTTTAGGGCACCAGTTTCGATACGCAGACAAAGGACTAACTAGCCTTCCTCGGCAGAACAAAAACGAGGAATGCAATGCAAAAAAAAAAACGCACACATATTTGGTTTCCTTGTGTTTTGTTTAAGGTAGCAGACCGAAGAAGAAGAGAAAAAAAAAGGGAGAGAAGAAATCGAGGGTGGGGGATCTCCATTTCTGCCTTTAATCAGGCTTATAGTCTGTAAGGTGTTATTTTTGTATTTCTCACTTCACATGTGTGTTGTGTGTTATTTCCGTTATGCAATTTCGTGTCTCTCACATAGCCCATATGTTGTATGTGTTATTTTCTTCACAGGAGTAATTTATTTCTCATACCGCCCGTATGTCCTTTACAGAAGAAGTACTGTTTTTTTTTTTTACACCGCACATGTTTTGTATGTATCATGTCCATACAGGAGTACTGTTATTTCTCACACACCCCATAGAGTGTATGTGTTACGTCGTTTACAGGAGTGCTGTTATTTCTCACACAGCTGGTATGTTGTTGTACAAAGACGTACAGAGGTCGGAGTACTTGGCAACACTGCTAGTAAAATAATAACGGTTTCAACCAATTAAGTAGCACACTGGTCAAAAGGGCAGATAGCGGGACTACGCCTCCTCGGCCAATTAACTCGTGAAGTAAATGCTGCTCCAAGTTGTTTGAAGTGGCCTTGCAGGTTGCTAAGAAACTGCAAACATCAGTTTTGGGGAGGGCTGGGGACAACATAAAATGGCTGAATGTTTCTTTTACTCAGGTCATGTGTGTGTACGCATGTGTGTGACTGATGATAGCTAGATTGGGAGAGAAAGAGAGAGAAGGGAACAGTCTGTCTTTATGTGCCGTTTCTGTCTGTCGATGTGTCCGTAGGCCCCATGATTCATCGTATCTCTGTTTCTTCATAATGCTACGGATTCTACTCTCTACACTTCTGTCCGCCTGCCCTTCTAAAGCTGTTCCTGAGGTGAGACATGTCAACACCTCCTGCAGTAACAATAGTGTCTAGATCTTGTCTAGCTCTCTCTTGGTCTCTCAGCCTCATGGACACTTCCTGGTATCTAGCAACCCCACAGCGACTGACTCACATAAGATCAGGATACAGTTACAACACTTGGGCTCCAGTGTTGCCGTAGCCAGCTAGGGGTTAATTAACACCGGCGTTCTTTTTGTGTAGATAAGGCTAAGCACGACCAACTAAACTAAGCCTTCACTCTGTTCGTGTGGTCTTGTGTCAGATTAGCACAGTGTTAGTTTTCACTGCGCCATTAATTAGTGTATTCCATTGCTTACTCTCCCCCAGTCAAGACATGGGATGGGTGTGATGGCTGTGTGTGTGTGTTTTTTTTTTTTTTTTGGGGGGGGGGGAGTGGGGTGCAGGTATTTGTGAATAGGACAAAACGTTCGCCCGGATATCCCCACCCAAAAAAATTGTATTGGGGGGCAGGGGGGGGGGGGGGGGGAGAAGGATGACATAAACAGACCATAGCATACCTTTATATGATTATATAATTTATCAGATGAACAGGGATTATTATTATTATTATTATTATCATCATCATCATAATTATTATTACATGTTTACTTTGAATATAAATATAAAGGTCTTTCGGCATTGACAGTGTGGTTGGAACGTGATCTTATTTTGGAGGAGGGGGGGGGGGGTGGTGGTATGTTGTATATTAATAGATGGCAGCGAAGTTCTGCGGTGAAATAATATGCTTTTCGCTTTTCTGTCGGCAGATTTGTGTGATTTAAATCTCGCAGCAGTCGCGTCACCGACTCAAATCAGATACAGCATCTTGTAGAGATCACCACCATGTCGGTGTCCCAGTATGATGACCTTTTAGGCGAGTTCGCTGACAGCACAGTCTCCGGTACGGCCAAGACAAACACCATTGGTGCCTTCGATGAAGATTATGATCCATTTGGACCATCTCCTGGAGCAGTTCAGTCTACAAACTTGTTGGATGATTCTGCAAGGGGCGAGGTGAGTACTGCTTGTTTGAATTTCTGTTACATTTTTTGTGGACATTATGTTTCTTCTCCTTCACCTTTATCTACTTCTTCTTTCATTCTTAAAAGGGCACAGGAACCAGAGAGATTTGGCACCCCGGCCCCCAGAAAAAGTGTAGGGGTTCAATGCCTCCCTCTTTCCAGATTATGTAAGCAGGCGAATCTGCCCCCCCCCCCCCCCCCCCCCCCCCCAACCATGTATAGAAATGTTCGCGCCCTCCCTCCTTTAAAAAATGAATTTGAAAGGGGACTGGACTCCACCCCACCCTCCTGGAAAAGGGGGGGGGGGGGGGTAAATTTGAAACTCAGAGTAAGGTGTCTCCCTTCTTTACCATCCTATCCATGATCTCTCTGACATGACTCATCTCACCCCCCCCCCCCCTTTTCCCGACAGACAGATAGATAAGATTTGATGGATGGATGGATGCATAGATAGATAGGATAAGATTAGATTAGATACAAGCTGATGTGCAATAACCGTGTGCAGTTTTTCTTTTAAATATTCAGGCGTGTTCTAAGATTTCTACTCCTATGTATGATAGGTACTAAGCTAAAATCTGTTATCCAACAAATGTCAAATGGGTTTCTTTTCGCGCATCTCATGTCATTTCTGACTTTAGATTGGAAATGAAAAACCTTTACCTCTTTTAACCCGCTTATTGTTAGTTGCATACCCTCGTCAGTAGTTTAGCTGCATAATCTGCAACCGCGACCACTGCAAGAATAGCATGTTATAAAAGGGGTGTGGCCAGACAAGAGCACTATGCAGCAAGCCAAAGAAGAATAAGAAATCAACACAGGACTAGTGTCATCAGCCGCTGCAGGCTGGGGGATTTACTGAGGAGGGGATCCGAGCACTTATGGACTGAATGGTTTGATGTGCCATGAGGATAATCTGTCCAGTGACTGACTAATTAGAAAGTCTACATTCAGTAGTTTGCCATCTTCCCCGTGTAAGTTCCGGGCACCATTTTTAGGGGGAACAGGAACAGACCCACTGTCCCCCTCCCACTTTCCATCAAGCATATGGTAAAGTCGACTAATTAGGGGTGTTTCTTTCCAAGGTGTAGTGCATCTGCCTAAGAGGCAAGGAACCAACAGTTTGATTACATGTAAGACTTATCTATAAAACGACTAGGCACGCAAAAGTTAAGTTCTGGAACTAGACTGAAGTCCAGAAGTGGATGAACAACCATAAATTTCTGCAGGAGTTTACAGATAATGAACGCTTCACCTAAGAAAAGAAGTAGTAGTTTGCCAACTGCTTTTATAACTGTGGGTTTTGAGAAGGTGTTGTTTTGCTTTGCGTATTTTTTGTTTTTGCTGAGGTTTTTGCTGGCGAGGTTGTGTTGTAGGCTGTATACTTCTTTACTTTGTTTTCAATAGGAAAAATACCCCACTGACTTTTGTGTGTGACTTTTTTAACAGACAAAGACACCCCACTGACTTCTTTTATTCTTGTTCAGCAAAGACCCCCCAATCTTTTAATCTTATTCAACAGAAAAAACCTCCACCTACTTCTTTTGAACTTGTTCATGAGACAAAAAAAAAATAACATACCCACATTTTGTTTGGCAAAAGCCTCCACCCGTACACGAAAGTAGTTATTTCTTAGGTTAGGCTATCCGAATACAACTGTTGTATACGTTAAATCAGTTTGCCCTTGATTTTCTTCTGTTGGTTTTGCATACAAAAGGTAGATACTTGAGCCACTGGGTGTCACTCTGTCTGAGTTGCAATTGAAGATAGGAAATATATATATATTATATATAAATAAAATGAGTATGGCTATAAATGGGAGCAACTGTGGTGGAGCGGCTAGACGCCCACTTACGGATCCGTAGGTCGTGGGTTCATGGCTGACTGTCTTGGCTCTCCGGTTTACCTAGCCTTTAAATGGATACCAGTTAAAGTTCTAGGAATTAAAGGCGGCCGTGTGGTACTGATCACATCAAGGACCAAGTGCCGATTGGTCTATACAATGTTGGTGTAGCCCTAACTGCATACTACGCATGAAGACATGGAATGGGGTCTTTACTTTACTTACTTGTGGTCATAAACGGTGTATCTATAAAAATGAAGCCACCCTGAAATAATACATTAAGCGACCCTGAAAAAATACATTAAGCCACCCTGAAATAATACATTTAGCCATCTTGAAATAATACATGAAGCCACCCTGAAATATTACATGAAGCCTTCCTTAAATAATACATGAAGCCATCCTGAAAAAAATACATTAAGGCACCCTGAAATACTACATTAAGCCATCCTGAAATAATGCATTGAGCCATCCTGAAATAATACATTTAGCCATCCTGAAATAATACATTAAGCCAGATAGTATTTTAATGAGTCCAAATAGTTTACTTCATAGTGTTTCGGTTATAAATACATTTAGAATATAACAGTGGATTCAGTTCATGTTTTGCATTGTGCACACGATAATTTACCGTGGACTTAAAAAAACATTGTGCTGGGCCGGGTGAATTCCTGACGGTAGTGATGTAGTCCCAATGGAATGTGGGAGCATCGGTTTTATCTGAGCCGAGATAGTTTAAATGGACGGGGGGAAAGTGCTGACAATTCTAGGAGACGATAACTGAGGAATGTACCACTTCTGACCTGGAGTGCACGTTTGAAGGCTTCACACAAATCTCCACAAAGTGTACCCTTATTGCTGCGGACTCAATGCATTAAACAGCCCAGTTTAATAGGCCAGAAGAAAAAGAAGAGGAGGCAGAAGAAGGAAAAGAAGAAGAAGAAGAATAGGAAGAAAAAGATTAGGAGGAGGAGGAAAATAAAAGGAGAAGAAGAAGAGCAATAAAAAGATGATGATGTGGAGGAGGAAAAAGAAGAAGATGATAAGGAGGGGGAGTAGGAGAAGGAAGAAGAAGATGGTATTACTATTTAAAAAGCACACAACTGACGACTGCTACGATTGTCCTGGGATTTGTAAATGTGAGATTCTCATCCTGGATATGATATGCTGCGACCTGCAGCACTAGAGGAAACAAACTACATACCTACCTGCCCACCCACGGCTGCCTATTGAGCCAGGCTGTTGAATGCATTAAGTCGGCAGTGATAAGGATACACTTGGTGGAGATTCACGGGAAGTTTTAAAACGTGCTCTGTCTGTCTGTCTGTCTGTCTGTCTGTCTGTCTGTCTGTCTGCATATTTGTGTATGCATGTGTGTATGTATATACGTGTGTTTGTTAGTGTGTGTTTGTATGTGTGTATGTATATATATATATATATGTATGTGTGTGTGTTTGTATGTGTGTATGTATATATATATATATATATATATATACATACACGGATCAGCAGTCACGGTCGGTCTTGTCCTTGGGCGTTGAAGTTGAAAGTGGCTGGGGACACAACAGTAGACGGCTTTGTCAAACACTTGACTGTGCCGACACACCAAAGTGGCCGTGCGGAGTGCCCTTCTCAGCCTGTATGTAGTTAAGATGTCAGTGCAATTTGGGTGTTAAACCTGTTTGAATATACAGCCAAGAGCACCTCAAAGTGCAGTGGACTAGGATATCTTCGGCTGTTCTCTTTGACAAGATTTGCTGGTTCGTATTTAAACATCCCGTAAGTGTATTTCAGTGATTACATTTAGGTATAAGTTCTAGGAAACAGTGAGGTCTGTTAAGTTTAGGTAACTGTTGGTAATTTGTATGTATGAAGACTTTATACCTTTTACACGTTTTAAAAAGGGGTAGGAAATTAGAGAAATTACAGTGAACAAACCAAGGACGTTGCGGTGGTTAGCCTTTATCAGCAGACAGAGGCAACACAGCACACACAGAAAAATATACACTAACTATGAAATTGATACATTAGTATCTTATGTACAGGGCTATGACAAAATGCTAATAAACTACAGGCTAATACATAGCAGGTGATACTTATCTAGGTCGCCGGTGAAGCTCTGAGAGGATTAAATAGGCAGCCCACACCACGTTAAACGTTGGTTGGTGGATGGGGAGCTGAAAGGGTAAAGGGGGGGGGGGTGAAGGGTTGGTTTGGTCCATCGGTTTAGGCGTTACGGGCGTTGTAGGCACGCATCGTAATTCCGAGATATTCTGTTGGATTCCATCTTGGGACATTTGGCAGCAGACCGCTTTGCCTTGATTTAGACTGTTGCATCGAGAGCCTTCCTTTGAGAGACAGTGGAAAGACCGCAACACTGTAGAGTAAAACTAAACAAACAAGAAATGCTGAGGATGGTGTTAGTTCTGCAGCGTCCTGTAAAGGATGCGGAACTCATTTCTTTCCCAGAAACAGTGACTTGACGCGTTTTCTCTTGTGTGTTTTGTTGCTGAATGTTCACTCTGAGCTTTTAAATATATATATATATAAATACAAAATTTTGTCCTTTATGTTTTAGGTGAATAATTTAATTTAGTTCTTGATGTTAATTTTGCCACACCATGGTTATACTTTGAACGGCGAGCGCCAAAGCACTTTTAATTCGCCCCGAAGTCACACAACAATGCTGCTTATGGTGTAAGTCGCGACATTTGAGGATTACTGTGGGAACTGGCTATGCATGCCGTAGCAGCAAATTCTTTCACACCATGAACAAGTATACAATTGAAGGGCCTGAAATAAGTTGACCAAGGGCCTGTTTTCGTCTTCTTCTGCCTTTCTATTCCCCAATGGAGCACAGGCCCTCAGCCAACTCACGCCAAGTCGTTCTATCCTTCGCTAGGACACGGAGCTCGACCCATGTCCTCCCCATCTTTCTGACTTCATTCTCCAGCTCTCTTCTCCGTGTTTTGTTGTTGTTGTTTGTTTGGCCTTCCTTTATTCCTTCCTTCAAGCACCAGTACATTTACTGTATAAATAGTGTAATAATAGTATATGTATAGCGTGAGAAAGACGATCAAATATCTTTTTGTCGATTAAGTTCACATTTAAAGTTAAAGTCGAGAGTATCGACTTCATTGCACCGGGTTTTA